CTCAATCTATAAACACAAAGCAGACAGAAAGGGGTGGGGAAAAGCAGCATTAGTATCCCACAATTCTTAAAGTTGCCAAGGTTGAGAAACACTGCCCTAGAACTTTTCCCACATGTGCACTAAATCTGTTTTATTGCACCCCTGAACGCGTGAGTGGCTCCTCGGGGCAGAGATGGGAATTTCTGAGAGAACTGCACAAAAACCATTCACCCTCTCTGCAAGACAAAGTGACGCGAGGGCCTTCCTGGCATTTAACTGAGACGTAATTGTTGTTAGCATTTGCTCAGCTAAGCCAACAACCTAGCCAACAACAGCTGATCTCAAATGCTAAGCATGGTCAGATTTGGTCAGCACTTGAACAGGACACCACCAGGATATCCCAGGGTTGAAGGCTAGACTGGGAAGTTGAAAAGAAAAGAAAATCTGGAATTTTAGTAAGGGCATGAAATGATTAAAAAGGTAAGAACGTAGAACAAATGAGGAAAAGAAAATTGAAGGAACTGAAATATCTCTCCCGAATTAGGGAGATCAAGGGGCAGCATGAAAGGACTTTCAAATATGTGTAGTTGGTACAATGGAGGACATGGTTCTTACTTACTAAATCTGCAATTACAAACCACTCCCACTGTTCCCCCCCCCAAAAAAATTCCTAACTCAAGAAAGGCTACCTTTATTTGTGGATTCCCATATATCAATATCAACATAGCTCTGGAAACAATATTTGTCATTCTCTTACCTGCTGCTGAGATATTATATAAATCATATAGGTAGTCCTCAGTTAACCAAGGCAGCTGGGACTGGAGCCACCATTGCTAAGCGACACGGTCGTAAAGCGTAACATCATATAACTGTGCTGCTTAGCAATGGCAATTCTGACATTTCTGTTTGCAGTGGTTAAGTGAATCCTGTGCTGTCATTAAGCTAGGACCTCACGTGGTCGCCATTTGTGACCTTCTGCCAGCTTCCCCATTGACTCTGTTTGTGGGAAGCCTGCAGGGAAGGTCACAAATGGCAACCATGTGACCACAGGGACATTGCAGCAGCTGCAACTTCAAGGAATGGTCATAAGTACCACTTGTTCAGCGCTGTTGCAAGTTTGAATGATGGCTGATCAAGTGGTCATTAACTGAGGACCATCTGTACTTTATATGAGACACATAAGTGTGCCTATATTTTCAATCCAATACTCCATCCTACGTGTATAAACAGATTACAGGAGCCTGATTAATTCCTAAAAATTTTCCTGGAATGAAACTTACAGCATGTTCTCCCATAACAGCACTCACAGTTGTCCAACTGTTAGCATAAGCATTACCATTCCACTGAACTTAATGAAACCCAACTGTTTTAAAGCAACTGCAGATTTGCTCAATTAAAGCTATGGGGTCAATGTAAAATTGACCTCTGACCCTTGACTGGTAACTAAGAATGTTCCTGTTTCTTCAAACATGCTCTTTCTGTTGACATCGCTTACAAGCTTCACCAAAAAGTACTTCATTAACTTTTTTTTTAAATGTTCTTTGAATCCTAACTCTTTTCTTGTGTTTGAAGCACATGTATCTATAATCCATTTTCAGCAACATGAAGACAGTGAATTACTATGGATTTTGCCCTGAAAGGTATGAAAATATAATCTATAGAAAATGCAGTGTGAATTTATTCCTTCTTTTCTAGAAGAGGCCTTTGAGGAAAATTGTCCTCCATTGTACCAGCTACACATATTTGAAAGTCCTTTCATGTTGCCCCTTAATCTCCCCAATTTGGGAGAGATATTTCAGTTCCTTCAATTTTCTTTTCCTCATTTGTTCCATGTTCTTAACTCTTTAATCATTTCATTTCCTTACTAAATGTATCTTGGCCAAAAAATCAACACATACACAAAATTGACCAATAAATATATGCCGTAGAATAGAAGGATGGCTCAGTTTTAATCACATAAAAACAGTTCTCAAACAGATGGGCAACACCAGGACAAGAGCAAACACCTTCATCACCATGGTACTTCCAGCAGTGATCTATAGAAGCAAAGCACTGAATCAATGGAAATCAGATACAGAAAATCTTTGAGTCACACAACATGTAATGGAAAGGCAAATGCTAAAGATCTCACTTGAAAATCAAATGAGAAATGAGGAAATTTGATCGCAAACTTCAGAGATGTCATAACAGTAGCATTAAAACAGAAATATGCACAGACAAAACACATTGCACATTTATCTGACAATAGTGGACACAAAAAATAACATGGTGGTGGCCTTACAATTACACACACACACACACACACACACACACACTTGGATCACCTCCTACAAGATGGAGAGATAGACTATGAAAATATCTCTGTCCCAGATGGAACACCATAGCAAAAGACCAAATAAAATAAAATACCTGTTGACGTTTCACTTCAGATATCAACACAAATCTGACACATATGACAATAAAGTCACAAAGTGATATATTTGGAGCCTTGAACTTTTGCCTGTGGGCATATAAAGGGATATCCCCTTGGGTTTAATCCAGCCACATCATAAATGTCAGTAATATTCATATACTACTCACTCTCTGTTGTTCTCCAGTAACTCATTGGATACCTTCTGATCTTGGAGGCTTGTCTTCAAATATCATGTTGACATTGTCCTAGATGTAAATGATTTTCTTGGTTTTCTTAGAAGAATACTGGAGTAGATTGCTATTTCCTTCTCCAGTGGTTCATATTTAGTCTAATCCTTCATCTATGATCGATCTATCACTCTAACATGAGCAACCATTCTCAGAGCTCATAGCTTCCTACACAAGCCATTTCACAACTCCAAGGTAACAATCCATGAATTGGGGAATGTTTTTTATAGTATAATACAGTGTTTCTCAACCTCAGTAACTTTCAGATGTGTGGACTTCAACTCCCAGAATTCCCCAGCCAGCAATTTGGGGTTGGAGAAGACTCATGACAATATCATGGGTAGCCAAGGAAACAAATGTGTCATCAAACAAATCTATCAAGAGTTCTCACTAGAGGCACAAATGACCAGGTTCAAATTATCATATTTTGGGCTCATTATGTGAAGACTTAGCTCTCTGGAAAAAGCTCTAATGCTGGGAAAGTGGAAGGAAAGAGAAAAAGAAGAAGACAACCAGCAGCAAGGTGGATGGACTCAATGAAAGGAGCAATGGGGGTACCGTTAGAAGACATGAAGAGTCAGGCTGGAGACAGAACATTCTGAAGAAGGTCTATGTGATTGCTAAGAGCTGACATTGAAAATAGGTAGACCTATTGCATTCCTTTTATATGCAGATGATGCAGCCATTATCTCAAATGGCTTTTTGGACTGAGGACAGCACTGAGATCAACTACCTGTTATTGTATAGATAATGATCAGGTTATTAACCACCCAAAAGCAAAATTTATGTCCTTCTCAAGATGTAAATATAGATGGCAGTGTAATAGGAATGTAATTGAACAGATTAAGACCTTTAAATATCTCAGAATTGTTTTCCGTGCTACAATCACATTGATTGTGTGCCATCAAGTCAGTATTGACACTTAGAGACCACATAGATAGACCTTCTCCTTTTATAAGATGACCAATTTTTAGTTTTTTTTCAATCTACCCAACAGGTTAGGAGCAATGATACCTTTCAATCTATAGTATATACCAGGGTTCCTCAACCTTGGCAACTTTAAGACAGGTGGACTTCTACTCCCAGAATTCCCCAGCCAGCCTGAATTCTGGGAGTTGAAGTCCACCTATCTTAAAGTTGCCAAGGTTGAGGAACCCTGATATATAAGGACTCTGTGTGCATGTACCAGGGAATGGGGGTATCCCATTTGGTTGCACAGATGTGGATGACACCGAGAGTCGGAGTTCACAAGAATGTGACTACTAGCTATGGTTTCATTGGCTGCTGGTGGCATTCTAATTCCACTTCTCTTCCTGTTGTAACTGCCACTTAGAGCAGTTACTGGCCAATGTGAAAAAATGTATTTTTGGACTTTGGAGCTAGGCCAAAGTAATGCTGGGACAGTTGGAACAGGACTAGCTTGGGAGCATGGAACGCGAACAGGACTGAAGCAAAAATGCAGGTTAGAATTGTACAGTTCACCT